AGCAGAAAACAAATAACAATCAGCTGTGATAGATTGTTCATTGCCTGTCAAATCTATTCTAGAAAGTGTAATCAGTGTGTGCGTGCGTGTGTGCATGTGTGTGTGTATAATTCCTTTTTTACTATTTCAATTGTAGTTGCCAATCTTTACACTAATAAAAGAGAAAAATGGTAAGGATCAAAAAATTTAAATGTTGTCTTGAGTATAGTAAAGGTGCTTTCAGAAAATACTATTTTGGGAAATAATTTTCTAGAATATTCTGATATTCTACAATGTCCTATTTTCTCACGTGAGCACAGTACTAGATTGTAAATTGGAGAATCTTCATTGAACTCATGTTCCCTTTTCTAATAAACAGGTGTGTCTAAGCCAGACCTACTCACCTTTTTGGAGCACATGAAGGGGCCCTGGGAGTTGAAGAGGAAAAAGACAATATCCAGTCAGCCAGGTAGGTGGGAATCAAGGAAGCGGATGACCCAAGTGAGAGGCCAAGGTTATGGAGGAAGTCAGATATTATAATATGGTTTGGAAAGATCTGCTGCAATAAAAAAGATTTTGGAGAGGGTCAGGTTTATTTCTGTTTCTGTCTTCAAGGGACAGAGCCTCTTCAACACTTACTCTCTGGCATCATGTAAGGGTTCTCCTTGTGCTCCTGTGATCTTCCTTTGCATTTACAGTGAGAGCCAAAGACCTGCCCTAACAGCGTGAGGGTAGCATGACCTGGCTGCTCTTGTATTTCTTGGTGAATCTGGGGAAGTCTGTGCACGTTGCTGAGGAATTTTACGTTAAACTATGTTTAAAGTTCTGTTTTCTGCCCCATGTAAGTAATTTGGGAGGGAAGTGGTTGAGATACTGGAATTTGGTTCCCACATCCCAGGAACACTGTGGGTCGGTCCAAGTTGTCTTATTCTTCCTTTTGCTTGATGAAGCCTGTTTCTGATGTTTCTATTGTATATTTTAATTCAGGTACTAACTATATTCTTCAGCTCCCAATATCTGTTTGGTTCTTTTTTTATACTTTTCATCTGTTTGTATTTTTATTTTTGTCATGCATAGTTTTGATGGTAATATTTTTTTTTAATTTTTTTTGCTATATTTTCCAATTGAGCCTCTTTAAGATGTTTGTTTTCACAGCCTTGTTAGGTAATTAACAGATGTTCATTAACTTAGAAATATCTGTTTGGTTCTTTTTTTTATACTTTTCGTCTGTTTGTATTTTTATTTTTGTCCTGCATAGTTTTGATGGTAATATATTTTTTAATTTTTTTTGCTATATTTTCCAGTTGCGCCTCTTTCAGATGTGTTTGTTTTCACAGCTTTGTTAGGTAATTAACAGATGTTCATTAACTTAGGGCCAATTTATGGAGATTTATGTTGTTCCTCTGGTTGCATTGTTTTTCTGTTTCTTCCTAAACCTTGTGATCTTTTGTTACTATTCCAGGTCATTAGAAACAGCCGCCATCCCATTTTTTATGAACTTGCTTTGTACAGGAGAAAACAAATAACAATCAGCTGTGATAGATTGTTCATTGCCTGTCAAATCTATTCTAGAAAGTGTAATCAGTGTGTGCGTGCGTGTGTGCATGTGTGTGTGTATAATTCCTTTTTTACTATTTCAATTGTAGTTGCCAATCTTTACACTAATAAAAGAGAAAAATGGTAATTGGCGTACGAGCTACCCTTTCCATTGGCTAATCAGGGCTATATGCTAATTAACTGCCAACTCAGATGGCAGTTAACTGACAACAAACT